AGGTTGTTGCCTTGACTCTTGCCTTATGTTATTTGTGAGGCCAGGAGTCATGTGCTCAGCTGAGTGGAGCCTTTAAGCAGATGCTCCCTGATCTGCCAATGACAGATAAGGATGCCTGATACCCAGAGATACACCCATCCCTCCCCCATTGTCTTAGGCTGTGACTAACTGCCCAACTTCCCAGTCTCACCATGGGGATGCGCAGAGCGTGCAGGTAGAAGGAGTGGATTTCCCAGTAGCAGCAAATGTTATAGATGAACTTGATAAGCCGGTGAATCCAGAAGACACCAGCAATGACCAGGATGGTGATAAGGGAACCATTTTCCTGAATCCTGGTAGGGAAAAAGAAAGGGAGGGGGAGTTGCCCTTGAGGAAGGAGTCTTTGTAGACACGTGGCCATCCTTAAGGGTTTGCTAAGCTGAGCCCAAATCTGTGCTCTTGGGTTGGAGTTGCTGCCTCATACTCTACTCCATTCTCCACCTGCTAGCAGAACCACAGCCTCCGGTGTCCTCTGACTTGCAGCCTTTACCTGGCACTACAGACTGGGGCAGGCAAAAAGGCGTCTGGCAGAGTGACCTTGACAGGTTCAGTAGGGTGAAGACTGTGGTTCACCATCTTGTTGGCAAATAGGATGTCGTAGTCCACACAGCTGACCAGGAAGGTGGTGAAGGCAACCACAAAGAGGAACTGCCTGGGGAAGTAGGGAAAAGGGATAGAGTCTGAAGTCAGAGACGCGCCAGTGAAACAAAGTGGGAAAAGAGAAGAGTCAGAACAAGACTGAGGAAATGGAAGCAGATGAAGAACTTCCAAGGGGCTCTCTCTACTGCTCTGCCCCCTAGGACATTCTCAGGCCCAAATCAGCTCCAGTTCTTTGCTCTTAGCCTCAGGTGCCACAGAATCAGCCTGGTTTCCTCATTTCATGGTAGTAGTCTCTGCCACCACCACTGGATTCTTTCAAAGGTTTTATGATTTTGGTCATGGGTCTCCAGTCCCTGATTTCCTTTTGAGATAATAGTGTTAGAAGCCCTTAGGAGACTTGAGGCTGGGTGCAGTGGCTTACACCTATAATCCTAGCACTTTGGGAGGCCAAGGCAGAAGGATCGCTTGAGCCCAGGAGTTCAGGCCGAGCCTAGGCAACATAGTGAGACCTTGTCTCTACAAAAAATTTAAAAATTAGTCAGGCATGGTGGTGTGCACCTGTAGTCCCAGCTACCTGGGAGAAGGATCGCTTGAGTCTAGGAATTTTGGAGGCTGAAATGAGTTGTGATTGTGCCACTGAACTCCAACCTAGACAACAGAGTAAGACCCTGACTCAAAAAAGAAAAAAAAGAAGGAAGAAGAAGCAGCAGTGGCCGCCCTTAAGGGACTTGAGCTCTTTTCTTATTGAAGGAGGGCTTCCAACCCCTTCCCTTTGGCATTGCCATATGGCTTCTCTCTCCCAGAAGGCTCTCCACCTAGCAGCAGGACTAAGGTGCAACCAAGGCAGAACAGAGACTTTTCTCAAACAAGTGGCTGGCAACTCTGTGACCTCCTGACTGAACCATGTATATTCTATTAGAGCTCTGAGGACCAAGGCTTGAGTTCTCTTCATAGAAGAGATATGACTTGGAAAGTTTTCTTATAAGAAAGGCGAAGTTGGGTCATGCATGGTGGCTGACACCTGTAATCCCAGCACTTTAGGAGGCGGTAGCAGGAGGATTGTTGAGCCCAGGAGTTTGAGAGCAGCTTGGGCAACAAAACAAGATTTCATCTTGGAAAAAAAAAAAAGTTTTTTAATTAGCTGGGTAAGACAGTGAGTACCTGTAGTCCTAGCTATTCGGGAGGCTGATGCAGGAGGATTGCTTGAGCCCAGGAATTGGAGGCTGCAGTGAGCCGTAATTGTGCCACTACACTCCAGGCTGGGCAACAGGGTGAGATCCTGACTCGGAAAATAAAACAACAACAACAACAACAACAAAATAAAGGTGAAGCTGTAAGTTTTGGTGCCACAGTTAGTCTCTGAACTATAAAGGTTTGCAGAATTTTAAGACTGGGACTGAGTTGCATCGGCAGGTGAGGCCAGGGGTGGGCACAAGGAGAGGGAAAGTCTGAGATGCATTCCTTCACCACATCATCTGTCCTTTCTTATACTTACATGAGCTCAAAGATCTCCCCGATGAGCATACACGTGAAGCCATTCTTCTGGTGTAGATTATAAACGTGTACTTGTTAAGAAAAAGTCGTTGGTAGAAACAAGAGTTAAGATCACAGACTTTGGTGTCACACACCTGCCCTTAAGTCCTGGCTCTGTGACTTCCTAGCTATGTGACTTTGGTCAAGTTACTTAACCTCTCTAAGCTTTTGTTCATAGTGGTAAATTAGGAATTATAATAACTCCTGCCTCATAGGATTATTAGGTCTGAGACAATGCATGTAAAGTATTTAACACTGAGCTGACACAGAATGAGTCCAAAGACTCATTATTACAATTGTTAACATTCCATCAAAAAGGAGGGTCCTTTTATAAGTAACCTTGGAAAGGTTACTTATAAATTAACACCACAAAGTGCATATAGCTCTCAGTAAATGTGAGTTACCTTTTTTTTGAGTTGGAATTTCACTATTTTGTCCAGGCTGGAGTGCAGTGGCACGCTCATGGCCACCACAGCCTCGACCTGTTGGCCTCAGGCAATCCTTCTGCCTCAGCTTTCCAAGTAGCTAGAATCACAGGCGTACGCCACCACGCCTGGCTAATTTTCTGATTTATTGTGGAGACGAGGTCTCAACAAGTTGCCCGGGCTGGTCTTGAACCCCTGGACTCAGGCAATCCTCTTGCCTCTGCCTCCGAAAGTGCTGGAATTACAGGTGTGAGCCACCATGCCTGGCCACTATTAAAGATCATTATTTCACCAGCCTCTTTCGGCTGCAAGATGAGCACTATTCCCTTTCCAGGGGAACTTCCCTACCCCAACTTTCTACTAGGGGCATGGCTTAGACAGGAGCCTTTAGGTCCCAGAGCGCCACACAAAGACACAAAGGATATTCGAGAGAAGAAGAGGTCAAGGTTTTCGATGTGGTGCCAAGGTGCTGTGGGCACAGGAACAGAGATGTGAGAGCCCTGAAGGAACACAAGCCCCTTGCTCCCTCAGTATTCTTCTACTAATGCCCACCCTTCTTCTCCCAGCTCTGGCTGTCACGTCCAAGAACTCACACTTGCTCCCCTCAGCGACATGCACCAACAGGTCCTCCTCCCCGGGGGGTGAATCACTGTAGGAGGCCTCTAGGCGCTGGTACTCAGTGTCAAACTGCGCCATCACCACCGCCCCCTGTCCGCCTTGTCCACCTGCAGTTATGAGTAAGAAGAGACCCTGGTTCAGTCCCAGGTGCTGCTTGCCTGCTGCTCTGTCTACTAGGCCAGAAGGAGTAAGAAAGAATCTTTGGGCTTTGTCTTTACTACCAGCTCCCTTGGCTCAAAGGCAGAGGAGTTATGCAGGGATTGGGAGGTCTTAACTCTGATCAGTCTGAGTATCTACTGATGCCTTCTTGGCCTGAGTCAGAATCTGCCTCATTGAGGGAGGGGAGGTGTTTCATCTTCTATTCAATAGAGAGAAGGTCCCTCCCCGACCCCTCCTGGGAGCCCTGGTCTCCCAAGAAACTAGCAGTTTGGAAGCACTTTGTAAACAAAGGTTTGACATAAGCACATGTCCCTACCAGCTCCATGGACAGGGTCAGCTCCACTCCAGCCCTGGATGTCCTGGCTCTGCAACTGCTGGAGGAGAAAGTGTCAGGCCCCAGAGAGCAAGGAATAGGGATAGGAACCCAACCCTGCCACCCACCCATGCCCCACAAAAAAGAGGTCAACATGGGGCAGGGAGGCTGCAGTGGGCAAGAGGCAGTCTTCCAGTCCAGGACTATGAGCACTGCCTCTGGCTGCTATTCAGGGCCACTCATCCAACTCTAGGGTCCCAAGAAGTAATTTACTGACTGACCCCAAGAAGACTGAGTCGGTACAGGCCTGAGGCCAGACAGCCCCTCTGGACGGTTTCGCCATTGCCCCACTTCAGCCTCAAAAATGAAACATAACTCTTAGGGTCCACATAATCCCCAAAAGGAGTCTTTTCTGAAGAGGACCTTTCTGGTCAACACCTTCCCCTGCTTCTCTAGCACCAAAGACCCAGCAAGTTGTCATAGCTCCTGGTTGGGAAATCCTGACTAGATCAGTGTAGACCCCAGTTTCTGGGTGAATTTGTGGGTTCCCTAGATTCTAGGAGCAGGGTATGGTTGAGGTGGTACCCAGCGCAGACCCTCGGGGCCGTACATCTCGGCCCAGTCTGGCCCTGGTGAAATTCTCTAGGCTAGTGAGAGCCCTCCCCCTCAGGGAAGTCACCACTCACCAGGTCAGTGTGGTCCTAGGGCCCATGGAACCCCGGTTGGCTGGGCCTGGGCTCAGGGTTTCCTGCGCATGTTGGGAGGGTCGAGCCAGTCCTACAGCTGATACCCCGGGTGGACTGGATGGCCTTCCACACCCAGCCACCGCGACCGGAGCACAGCGCGCCCCAGGGCCGCCCGGCCCCAGACCAAGGGCTCGGCTCCCAACAGCGGACAACCTCGCGCGCGGCCCCGTAGCTCAGGCGCGCACCCGCTCGCGCGTGCCCGCTATCAAAACATTCCGGCAGCGCGCCCCCGCCCAGCCCGCGGCGCCCCTTCCCCGTTACCCGCCACGAGCTCACTTAGGGCTCCGCGGGCACCCCTGGCCAGGTCCGATGCGGACCTGGAATTCCAACAACTAGTCTCGAGTCTCACCTTAGGAACGACGACCCCGGTGATTCCAGGGGTTCTGCCGGCTCGGCTCAGCTCGACCCGACCCAGAGCGCTAGGCCCGGCGTCTGCCACTCACTGTCACCCGCAGACAGCCTGGCCAATGATCATGGGGGGTGGAGACACAACGGCCAATTCCCGGCTCCGGGGGCGGGACTAAAGCCCCGAGGTGGGTCTTGGACAGTCAGCGGACCAATAGTGCGCTCTACGTGGGGCGGGGCTCAGGTGCGGGCGCCGCCGGTTGTCCTCTTCGCTGCTCCGTAGTGACGGGGATTGTTGTGTTACAGAAATCCCGGGAGCGAGCTGTATGTAGACTTGCATGCGGTCTGCTCCCGGGACGTTTGGTGCCGCTTCTGGGGTCGGAGCGAGTTGATGCGGGTCAGTCATTGCTTGTCGATCGGGTAACAAAGAACGGTCGGTAGGGCGACCTCAGTGATTTTTAACGGTTGGGCTCGGTTTGGGAGCTGGACGTTTACCCATTTCATTCTTTTGTGGGCCAACACTGGGGGTTTGAGAAAGTGGACTGGGGTAGACGTACTTACCCCGCAGCTGACTTCTGGTAGCAGGTTGAGGGCCGAGATGGAGCTGTTTCTTATTCTCTTTCTGTTGCAGGAGCTGCTCCGCCATGTCGCCAGCTCCAGCTGCAGCGTCGACCCCTGCGTCGGTCTCCCTGTTTGACCTCAACGCGGATGCTCCGGTCCTTCTGGGCCTAAGCCTGGTGAGCCACGCACCGGGGGAGACTTTGGCCCGGGATCTGCGTACTTCCTGTCCAGGTATCCGGGAAGGCTTGGGGTGGGTGGACCCACGAGGAATGTGACAGGGCTCTTTGGAGCTTATTGCGTCTCCAGGGAACACATTGGTATTTCCCAGCTTGGGAGCCCACGATGACTTATCTTTCTGCTGAATAAAATTTGTCTAAATTCACTTAATTTCTAGGTAGTTTCCAGCACAACTCAGTTGTTTTCAGTCAAGTCTTTTGCCATTGCTTATGTCTCCTCACCTTTAACACCACTGCCTTCAAAAACACTTCAGAATCTCTAGATATATTTTCAAAATTTCTAGATATATTCCAAGTTTAACAGGACTCCAATCAAATGTTTCCTTTTTGCTGAGCATAAAACAATTTATTGTTTTTTAAAAATAACTTTGGCTTGTCTTTGGCTACATGTTTTTTTTTTTGTTTTTTTTTTTAGTTGGAGTCTCTCACTCTGTCGCCCAGACTGGACTGCAGTGGCCGCTTCCGGCCACTACAGCCTCGACCTGCTGGGCTCCTGCCATCCTTACGCCTCAGCCTTCCTAGTTGCCGGAAATACAGGCGCATGCTACCACGCCCGGCTGATTTTTTGATTTATTGTAGAGATGAAGTCTCGCTGCCCAGGCGGGTCTCGAACCCGCGGGCTCAGGCAATCCACTCACCTCAGCCTCCCAAAGGCGCGGGATTACAGGCTGAGCCACCGAGCCCGGCTGGCTACATGTTTTAAACAATCTCTTTGGTTAACATAAATACAATATTTTATTTATATTCATTTTATATACATCTCTTCAGAAGCATGTTAATTGCATAGTGATTGCTTTACCATTTATTTCATGATTACTAGATTATAAATTCCTTGAATGCAAGATCATGCTATTTTTTTCTTTTGTATCCTCTTCTACATCGTCTATCAGACACTGAATATAATTCCAGGCACTATGGATTTGGACTGTCTTTCTATGTCCAATTATTCTTCCCTTATTTAGGTTCAGGGGAGAGAGAGAGCTCAGAAAGAAAACTACTACAGGGTCCTATGGCTATTTCAGAGAAATTATTTTGTTCAACTTGTGACCAGACCTTCCAGAACCACCAGGAGCAGGTAATAGGCCAGGGCGCAGAACTAGATATTAGAAGCAAAAGTGTTTTGGTGGGTGGGGAGAGGTAGACATTTGATTTGCTTTAAATTAATAAAGTTCCATGCCTGATGGTGTTACCCAGTCGTACTTCCTGGAAATCCATTACTGGTTTTGGCAGTGTACAAGGCTGGGGCATGTTTCTACCTTCTGCCTCCCTCTTTGCCTTTGTAACTAGAGGGAACATTATAAGCTTGACTGGCATCGATTTAACCTAAAGCAACGTCTCAAGAACAAGCCTGTCCTGTCTGCCCTAGACTTTGAAAAACAGAGCTCCACAGGTGATGACTGGTGGGAGATCTGTGTGGGAATAGGGCATGGGGGTAGAAGAGAGCCCTAGTTTAGGAGTTTGAAGAAAGATCCAATATGGGGTAACGAAACTTGTGTATCTCATGTTGTCTGTCTTCAGGAGATCTTTCCAGCATCTCAGGATCAGAAGATTCAGACTCAGCCAGTGAAGAGGACTTACAGACACTGGATGAGGAGAGGGCCGAATTTGAGAAGCCTAATAGACCTCAGGGCTTCTATCCCCATCGAATTCTTTTCCAAAATGCCCAGGGCCAGTTTCTTTATGCCTACCGCTGTGTCCTAGGCCCTCATCAGGCAAGTAATAGTACAAGTTGTGTGGTCAACCATAGCCTTTTGTACACTCAGTCTAGATTTCCCTTTAGCCCAGTCCATATCTCACTTTTCTTCCTTCCTGTTGGGTATGAGTATCACACTTGACAATACAGTCTTGGACTGACATTAGCCTGAATCTTGGAAGGGTCAAGTGTAATGGAGTTAAGGTTTTGTTTGAGACAGGGTCTCACTCTGCCACTCAGGATGGAGTGCAGTGGCATGATCACAGCTCACCACAGCCTCTACCTCCCGGGTTCAAGTGATTCTTCTGCCTCAGCCTCCCATCTATCTGGGACTACAGGCACATACCACCACACCCAACTAATTTTTATATTTCTTGTAGAGACGAGGTCTCACTATGTTGCCTGGACTGGTCTCAATTTCCTGGGCTCAAGAGATTCTCCTGCCTTGGCCTCTCAAAGTGCTGGGATTATAGGCGTGAGCCACCATGCCCAGCCTGAAATTTTTTAAACAGACCAATCCAGGTTTAAATTGTGGTTCCACCACTTCATCTTGACTACCTCTCCAAGTCTCAGATTTCCTTGGAAACAAGCCTCAGGGTGATTGTATGAAGCACTTAGCATTAGTACTTGCTCTTAATGAATGCAACAGACAGAATGTTTCTGGTGCTTCTCTGCCATCCAGGTTCCCCCAGAAGAGGCAGAATTGCTATTACAGAACCTGCAAAATGGGGGTCCCAGATACTGTGTGGTGCTCATGGCTGCAGCTGGGCACTTTGCTGGTGCTGTATTTCAAGGGTGAGCGGGTACTACATGGGGGTAGGGTTGGAGTGGATCTTGTTAGCCTGGGAGCACCAGCTGGTCTCCAGTACTAAGTCTGTGCTGTCTACAGAAGAGAAGTGGTAACACACAAAACCTTTCATCGCTACACGGTGCGGGCCAAGCGCGGCACAGCCCAGGGGCTTTGGGATGCCCGGGGTGGAGCATCACGCTCTGCTGGAGCTAACCTGAGGCGCTACAATGAAGCCTCACTATATAAGGTAAGTTAAGCCTCCCAGATCTAGAGGTCTTTTCTGCCTCTCAATTCAACTCATTAGGTTTTGGCTCCCATATCCTTTTAATTTTCATTATTTCTGGGTAGACAAAGGTCGAATAGAGATCCCCAGGACCCTTAGTCCTTTCATTCTTTCTCCTTCTGTGTAATCTTCCACCTCCTATGCCCTGCACATTATCTGTGGGCCATTGGTTGGAGATTTAAAAATAGCAAGTGAAGAGAGGCAGAGCTGAGTTATTCTCTCCTCTAGGATGTTCGTGACCTGCTGGCAGGACCAGGATGGGCAAAGGCACTAGAGGAGGCTGGGACAATACTGCTGCATGCTCCCTGCTCTGGCCGGTCCTTGTTCTTTGGAGGCCATGGGGCACCCCTGCAGAGGAGGGATCCCCGACTTTGGGATATCCCCCTTGCCACCCGCAGACCTACCTTCCAAGAGCTACAGCGTGTGCTCCATAAGTTGACCACCTTGCATGTCTATGGTGAGGGTGAGCCTTTGATCCAGATCTCCTGACTCCCCAGACCTTCCTGTACTCTGTAGCCTAAACCTCCATTCTCATTTGTGTATCCAGAAGACTTTCTAGTCCTTGGACTGCAGCCCAAATTACATATTTGTTGAGAGATACCTGGGCTGGCTTCTCTTCAGCTAAGTTTGAGAAAGATCTTTCATTTTATGCCAGAAGAAGACCCTCGGGAAGCAGTCAGACTGCATTCACCTCAGACACACTGGAAGACAGTAAGAGAGGAGAAGAAAAAGCTTACTGAGGAAGAAAGAAGAAAGATCCCCAGTGATGAAAATGAGGCATTCAGGCAGAATGAAGACTCTTCCAAACAGGGTTTGTGCACTGTCTGACAACTGTCCACTCAGAGTTTCTATGCTAGAAATGCAGTGGCAAATTCCCTACTCTCATTATGACCCATTTCCCTATTTATAGATGGGCCCTTATATAACACGTAGACACACACCATCTATTTTTAAAACGAGGTGTGTCTCAGCAATCAGTGAGACATGTTTAGTGACTTTTCCAAATCTATTATTTCTTTTTTTTTTTGAGTCAGAGTCTCACTCCGTAGCCCAGACTGGAGTGCAGTGGCATGCTCCCAGCCACTGCAGCCTCGACCTGCTGGGCTCTAGCGATCCTTCCGTCTCAGCCTTCCAAGTAGCTGGAACTACAGGTGCACGCTACCACACCCGGCTAATTTTTGATTTTATTTAGAGATGAGGTCTCGCCAAGTTGCCCAGGCGGGTCTTGAACCCGCGGCTCATGTAATCTACTCACCTCAGCCTCCCAAAGCGCTGGGATTATAGGCTGAGCCACCCAGCCCAGCTTCTATTCTTTTGCTTATGGATGTTTCCTCAGAAATCAGAATGTCTTAGCATGGAGTAGATGTTTGAATGTGTTGTATGGATTTCACATAGTTTATCTGTCTTTTATTAGGTGCTGTGGCTTTGGGCTAAGGGATGCTTCCATGCTTTTTCTATTGTGCACCATCCTCAGACAGTTCACAGGGAGAGTCCAGGGACTTTTGTCCCTGCATATCTCCTTCTGGGCCTGTCCTTGTCTGGGCTGAAAGCCTCGTTTTTTAAAATGTAATATAATAATTTCAGCTATTGATGTGCTACTTTATCTGGGTGATAAAATAAAAACACTTTCAGGGTGATCTGAATTATCTTTTTATAGACATTCTTATGCATCTGAGGCAGCCCATATGCTTCCACCCTCTGCATACTCTTTAGATGGATTTCACATGTCAGGTTTTCCCCTAGATTCAGGGTCGGAAGGAGAAGATGGCTTCCAGGTAGAGTTGGGAGTAGTGGAGTTGACACTGGGGACTCTGGATCTTCGTGAATTTGAAGTATTGCCCAAGCGGAGGAGGAGAAAAAGAAATAAGGAGAAAAGCCAAAACCAGAAGGCTGGGGCTTGTATGGCTCTTCTCCAGCAACCACAAGAAGATGAGCCTTTCTCACGGTCAACCCCAGCAGCTGCAGCCCCCTTGGGCCCTTGGCTGGATGAGGCCAAGGCCCCTGGTCGGCCAGAACTCTGGGATGTGCTTCTAGCTGCTTGCCGAGCTGGAGATGTTGGAATACTGAAGCTCCAGCTAGTTGCCAGCCCTGTAGACCCTGGAGTTATGTCTCTGCTCAGTGCCCCCTTTGGCTCCGGTGGCTTTACTCTCCTGCATGCAGCAGCTGCAGCTGGAAGAGGCTCAGTAGTTCGTCTGCTGCTGGAGGCAGGTGCCGACCCCACTGTGGAGTGAGTAAGGTTTTCCATCCCCGTTCCCATTTTGGGTATAGAGAGGATAATTTGGAGGCTGAAGTTGGCACTGGCTACTTGACAATATTCCCTTGGTCTGGTTGGGTGATGTTGGGAAAGGAAGGAGGTAGGTCTAACCCATTTTGGGGGGTTTTGCCCCTAGGGACTCCCAGGCCCGGCCACCTTATGCTGTTGCAGCTGACAAATCAACACGTAATGAGTTTCGAAGGTTCATGGAGAAGAATCCAGATGCCTATGAGTACCACAAGGCTCAGGTCAGCTGGAAAAGGAAGGAAAAGCAGAGAGGGAAGGCATCAGAGATCCTGGCTAGAGCCTTTCTACTTCCTTGCAGTTTTACCAAGGATAGCTTCTGTGGGTCTTACCCAATGCCTTCCTGAAATCCTCCAGGTGCCAGGGCCACTGACACCAGACATGGAGGCACGGCAGGCTACAAGAAAAAAGAAGCAGAAGGCAGCCCGGCGGCAACGGGAGGAACAGCAGCGGAAGCAGCGGGAGCAGGAGGAGCAGGAGCAAGAAGAGCAGCAGCGATTTGCCGCCCTCAGTGACCGAGAGAAGGTGAGGCTGGAGACTCTCTCTTCCACAGCAAGTCTTCCTTAGAGGCCTCATCCCTTCCTCAGTATGAAGCTGTCACTTCTTGGATACCCTCTTCACCCCTGGGGCCTTGCCCTTAACATAGCTCCTCTTTCCTTCAGAGAGCTCTTGCTGCAGAACGCCGATTTGCTGTCCAGTCAGGAGCCCCTACTCCTCCGATTCCTGACTCTGCAGTTGTTAATGCTCGGTATGGGGCGGGGGTGTGAGTGGTGAGTGGCCTATAATTTAGCTGTAGGGACCATTTGGGACATGCAGAATGAGTGCCTACACGGTATTCAGAAGAGGGTTGAGAGGATTTGAGATGTTCTGGCAACAGTTGGAGCAAAAACAGAAATGGCAAGAGAAGGGATGGGGACAACATGGATTACAATTTTGGGGGGTACCTGTCTAGCCATTTTTCTTCCTCTTGTTCAGACGCTGCTGGAGTTGTGGGGCATCCCTCCAAGACCTCATTCCCTTTCACTACCTCGACTTCTCTTTCTGCTCCACACGTTGCCTCCAGGATCATCGCCGTCGGGCAGGGAGGCCCTCTTCCTGATCTTACAGCTACACCTGGGGCCAACTCTAGGCCCTAAGAGGACACATTCACACCAGCCCTAGGTCTCTTCTTCCCCATGAAACCAGAGAGTATACAGAAGTTTAGGGTGGAGGATAATCAGGAACCAGGGCAAAGACAGGACCAAAGAGGTGTGTGGAGCTAGTACTGTCTCTGGAACTTTAATCACAATAAAGTTTGGCAAGAAATCTTCATTTGTACTTACACTCAGAGACATTCTGGCCCTTGGTTCCTCATTGTCACCATGGCCAGCACCAAGGGATCCTGCCCATTCCATGTCCCAGGTCCAAGGGTTACCTTTCTTTCAGTGCCCACTTAACTCCATTGGTTCAAATGTATCAGCTGAGAGGGAATACATATATGTCTCATACAAGGTGCTATTGAGAATAGGCTTATCCAAAAATTGGATTTGGGGCCGGGGAGGCACATTTTCTAGTTCCAGCAATGTGATTTTGTTGAGGGCTCCCCTAGAAAACAGCAGGAGTCTTGGCACATAGAGAGTCTGTTGTGGCCCCCGCTTTGTCCAGTACCGGCCCAAATTAAATCCATTGATCCAGACTTGGCCCTGAGGAATAGGGTACAGGGGAGAGGGGAAAAGAAAGGATCAGCTTTCCAGAGGGTACAGTCATCCCCTTTTGGGTTCCTAATCAGAGAATACTTTCTGCTCCCCCTCCTTCCATGGTTTTTCTCTTTTCCCACACCCCTAACCAAGCCAACTGCCACCATTAACAATACCTTGGTCCATCCAGGTAGATACAGAAATGTGTCCCCAACAATGCCTAAAATTGGAAATGTTGTGGAGTAGAAGGTGGGGCCAGAAGGAGCTTGAGTTTGTGAACTTTTCAGAAACTGAGAGGGAAACCACCACTTTACAAGGTTATCAATTTTCAGAGGGAACATCATCCACTGGGTAAGGATTGTTTGCCCCAGAATTGGTGGCTCTAACAGGCCCTGTAGGGAAGGCAAATGAAAAGTGATCATTCACTAAGCTCTATGGCCAAACTATTCCTAATCAAGCCCCAAGATGTAAACTGGCAAAACTAGCTCACTTTGAAGTCACTGCTGTTTGACCCAAAACTGAGCCGTCCCATGTTCTCCAGCAAGATATCCAGTTTGGTCCCTAGTTTCCCCATCAAAAATAGTTGGTGTCTCATGTTTCGCTCCAAAACTCCCTGGAACACCTGTGGATAAGAGATGGGGATCTATGAAAGGAAGAGTTCATCATCTAGCTCTTGGTCACATGAGGAACCCACATTAGGAAACTTATTTAGAGGACAAAGAGAATGTAGCCATCTGTCAGCTACCCATCTATTCTAGAACTCTGTCCTCAATCAAGCTCTTCCCCAACCCAGCTTATCCCTGGCCCCCTGCAATTGTGAGCAAGCAGGTGGGAAAGGGTAAATACTGGGAACTTAAGGCTAAAGGGAAGGGAAGGGTAAATACTGGGAACTTAAGGCTAAAGGGAAGGGAAGGGTAAATACTGGGAACTTAAGGCTGGGGAAGGGAGGAAATTGGAGTTCACAGTTAGCCTGGAATTAGATTCTCACCCCATCCAACATCACATAGGCACGGTCATGGACTCCATTATTTGGCACCCAGAATGGTGTTGGCTCAAAAATGGTATGGGTCAGATAGGTCCGGTACAACATAAAGCCATGGTCCTGGGTATGAAAGAATGAGTACTTCAGATGAACTGAGAGTTAAGAAAGGACACTGGGAGAAGGGTAGCTGGAGGAAACTTTTGGCTAAAGCTCTTGAGGTAGGTTACCATCCCTACTAGGTGCCAGTGTATGCCTTACCTGTTTGACAGCCTCAAAGGTCATTGGCAAGATTGAGTGGATGGGTCCTTGGGGGCATAGAAAGTCTAGGAAAGTCAGCAAATCCCCAGCCTATCAGAATAAAGGGGAAGAATAACAGGAGGGAAGTTTCTGGATAGAGGACAGGATAGGCTATTTAGAAAATAAAGGGGTATCAGAAAAAAGATGGGGAGGAACTTACCGGGTACAGAGTCAAAGGTCCAAGCATTATCTTCAGACTGGGAGGAGGTAAAGGTCCCAAGGGAATTTCCTGGAACTGAGCCCAAATCCTCTCAGGAGCCATAGGAAAACCACAGAAACACCACCTATTCCAAGACCCTAGAGCAGGGTTCTTAACCTTGGGTCCAGGGAAGGGCTCCAAGGGTCATGAAGACCCTGCAGTTTTGCACACGTGTGTGTTTCTTCCCTCATAGTCCCATTTGAGTGAATGGAAAATGCTTCCATGGGATGATCAGAGGGCTCTGTGGCCCAGACAACAACCATCAATTTATGGGATCCCTTTACAGTTTGGGCACTCCCACCCAGTTCAATAAAAAGTCTTTGGAGCTTAATGAAGTAGTAGAGCACCTTGCTGATGACATCTCGAAGAGCAAAAAGCTTAGGTGTAGGGTCGCCTGCTTCAGATATAGGTGCATCATAGTCATAGCTGGTAGTAATTGGAAGGAAGCGTCCTTTCTCATCAGCACCTGAGGTTGAGCCAATTTAATTAGTCCATCATATCTTTCAGATGATAGGCACTAAGCAAAGAGCTTCATGCAGCAATTCTGCCATCGGAGGGGAGGGTGGTGGCCATAATCAGTTTCTAGACATCCTAATCCACCCAGACATTCAATTCTAATTCCTTGTTACCTCCCTGCTTCTGCCCCAGGGACCATCTGGACTCACCATTCCAGTATCCAAAGTTTGTACCTCCATGGAACATGTACCTGAAGTGGGGAAAGGCAGGGAGGAAAGATAAAAGCTAACTGATTGGATCTTGCCTTTCATCCCCAACTCCCAGCTACAGATTAATGTCTTCAGTTACATGTTCACACTGGCTCCCAACTTGAGCATGGTTTCTAGTCCTTTGGCTACAGTTGAAGTGGACCGTGTGGAGTGATTCTGGCCCCAGTAATCCAGCCAGCCTGTGTAGTACTCAGAGTTTACCTGGAGTGTGAAGTGAAAGGAGCCATGATTGAGAGGGGCACTGAGCTGGACCCATTCCCATCCCCGACTCGTGCTTCGATTCCCCTCCCATTTAGCCCCTCACCAATGGCCCATGGGGTTCAAACTTGCGAAGCAGGGTAAAGATTTTGGTCATGTTGTCAGCTGCAGGAAAGAGGCAAAGAAAAAAGATAAACATCATGGAAGAGGTATCCTTTCCCCAGAATCCACTCCTACCTCTTCCTTAGGAGACCTGGGCCGAAGTCCACAGTGGTATAGAGTCCCTGGAGGGAGCCACACTTGAGTCCTTCAGGCCCATCTGTGGTGAAGAGCAAGATCTTGTCTCCAAGAAGTGCACGGAAGAGCCCAGCCAGGTGTCTCAGGTAGCTGAAGTCGCAGGCCTTATAGCTACCATATTCATTTTCCACCTGTCAGGGGGAAGGGAAAGTGGAGCCCAGCTATGACACGGAGGTCAAGGACCCCTTGCACCTCCTTCCCTTTACCCAGTCAACTTCCCCCCTTGTACCTGAATGCTAATGATGTTGCCCCCATTCTGGTAGAGCCATGGATAGATCTTGGGCAGCAAAACCTTGAACCAGGAGTCCACTGCAGCAAGGAAGACTAAAGGAAGGAGCAGTGCTTGCATATTAGGACCATCCCCCCAGACTCCCCCTCTTGCTAGTGACTTCAGTGCTCCACTTGCCCACAACAAAATCTGGGAAGCAGTGACTCTTGCCAGAAGAAACTCTCAACCCTAAGACTTGTATATTTGCATGTCAGTGACATTTGAACATAGGAAACATTAGCATTTCTTAAAATACATCTAAGAAAAATGTTAAACACATAGCATAAAGCTATGAGCAACGTAGCACAGAAATTCACAGAAATGTAGAATGTCTGACCTGCAACCTGATGTAAGTGACAGTGCTGGTAATTTAAGTCATCAACTGAAAGATCATTATACAGGTTGAGCAACCCTAATCTGAAATGCTCCAAAATCTGAAACTTTCTGAGCACCAGCATGATGCCACAAGTAGAAGATTCCACCCCTGACCTATTGCTTTATGAGGGTTCAATGTATACAAATGCTGTTTCATGCAGAAAGTCATTTAAAAGATTGTACAAAATTTTCAGGCTATGTTTATAAGGTGTATATGAAACATAAATGAATTTTGGTAGTGTTTAGACTTTGGTCCCATCCCCACGATATCTCATTATGTATATGCAAAAACTCCAAAATCTTAAATCTGAAACACTTCTGGTTCCAAGCATTTCAGATGAGGGATGCTCCACCTATATTAGGTATCAAGCCTTAAATGCTCAACCTCTACTTGTGATTTGTGATCCACCCATGGGCTCTTCATGCATGTTATTATCTCTGCCTGATACTTTGTCTCCCTTACTCCTTTACCTAGCCAACCCCAATTTATGCTTCAATTCTTAACTTATATTTCAATTCCTCAAAAATATTTCTGATATCTCAGATTAGATAGATCCCCTGTTACATACACACTCGCCTATTATCTCATACTTCTAAGTACTTAACAGATTATACTTGGGCATTTATTTCTGTAATGGTCTTTTGTTGTTTTCCCCCACTAGTGAGAAGGAACCTTGTGTATCAGGTTAATTTTTCACATCCCTGTCATTGAGGACAAAACTTAGCAGATAGCAGATTCTCAAAGGTGGATTCAATGAAAGATATTTTTGTATTCTTAAAATATTTGATTCCTTTAAATTGTATGTTGTATATAAAAGAGGCCTATGTTTTACTGCTTCTCTTAATCTAAGCATACACTAAATCACATTTATTCACTCAACAAGTATTTATGGGTGCTGATCATGCACTGAGCACTGTTCTAGGTGTTAGGGATTTTAGAAGGGAACAAAACAGACCAAAAAAAATCTCTGCCCTTGTGGGATTTCTATTCTAGTGATATACGCAGATAATAAGTTAAATAAAGTAAAATATATAGTGCTAGTGCCAAGGAGAAAAAAATAAAGCAGGGAGAGAGAAAATAAAATGGTGGAGTGGGGAAGCTTAAAAGAGATGGTGGCCAGGAAGCCCTCACCAAGGTGATTTCTGTAGGAATATCAAGGGAGCACATGCAGAGACCTCAAAACCCAAGGCCTGGTGGGCTTGAAGAACAGCAATGAGGCCAGTGTAGCTGGAGCAGAGTGAACAAGGGGGGGTGGGAAGAGCAGATGCCAGGGAAGTGACTGGG